GGTAGTGGAGGGCACTGACCTCAGAGTTAGGAGACGTCTCCCTACCTATGTGGCATTACAAAGGATACTTAATGTTTCTGGGCCTTTCTTTTCCCATCCATAAAAGAAATGCGCAGGCTCAGACCCTGTGGGCAAAGGACTCCGAGGCACTACTCCAAGCATGGTCCACAGACTGCGGGAACATCATCCCCTTTCTCTAAGCACACACAAGTGCTGCTTAATAAAGCTCAGAGTAATGCAAAGCGTTACTGGTATCTGAGCAAGTTGCTTTTGTCATCCATGGATTTTGTTACTCAAAAGATGCTAACGGGGCCACCTGGGTGGCTCAGTCGTTGAGGCCTCAGACTCTTGATTTCGTCTCAGGTCATGATCTCAGGGTCATGAGATCGAGCCCCCCATGGGGCTCTGTGCTGGCTATGGAGCCTGCTTTAGGTTCTCTCTCCCCCTCTCCCCCCACAGGCACTCTCTCTCTCTCAAAAAAAAAAAAAATGCTAATGATCTCACTTATGTGTGGAAACTTAAAAAAAAAAAAAAAAGCTCATTAATGCAACGTACTGATTGGTGGTTGCCAGAGGTAGGGGGTGGGAGTGGATGAAATGAGTGAAGGGGGTCAAACTTCCAGGTATAAAATCAGTAAGTCCTGGGGATGTGACATACAGCATGGTGATTGCAGTGAAGAACACTGTATTGCATATTTGAAGGTTGCTAGGAAAGCAGGTCTTCAAAGTTCTCATCGCACACACAACGTTTTGTAATGATGTAGGGTGACAGACATTGACTGGACTTCTTATGGCGATCATTTTGCCATGTATACAAATAACAAGTCATTAGATTGTACACCTGAAATCTAATATAACATTACATGTCAATTATACCTCAAAGAAAGATAGGGAGAGTTTAACTAGCATTATATAGGGGTCCTGGAAGTGTTGACATTTGAAAGAGGATCCTCATATATTCAAAAGAACAAAGAAATTGCTGGTCTAGAACTCTGGATGATCCCTAATGCTCCTTTATAGGGATTAGCACATCATCTATCCTTCCTCAGCAGCTTGGCTGCCGATAATGTTGGTGAGGAAAGAAAGGGTTCAAATTAAGCCTACCCCGGGGGCGCCTGGGTGGCTCAGTTGGTTAAGCGACTGCCTTCGGCTCAGGTCATGATCCTGGAGTCCCGGGATCGAGTCCCGCATCGGGCTCCCTGCTCGGCAGGGAGTCTGCTTCTCCCTCTGACCCTCCTCCCTCTCATGCTCTCTGTCTCTCATTCTCTCTCTCACAAATAAATAAAATCTTTAAAAAAAAAAAAAATTAAGCCTACCCCATCCCAGACATGATCACTGATTTTTCAAATTAATTTAATCTTAAAATGTAAGTAAAAAAAAAAAAAAACAAAGAACTTGCATTTTGGCCAATTATCACCAAACATTTCTATCACCTCCAAGGAGATCCAAACATGTATTTCTCTGTGGCCCAAAATCCCTTATAAAAGAAGACTGAGTGTACAGTTTGTAGCTAGTCATCATTATTTAGACTTAAAGCCCACCTTCACATGTATTATGATGGTACTAACACTAAATGCCTTTTAAAAAGCATTTAATACCGTCTACGACTTTTATGGTACATCAAAGTACAAGTCTACTCTTGTGAAAGAAAATTGTCTACATTCTAGCATAGCCACATGTAAAATGAATAATTGATAAGCAAAGGCAAAGAGCTTTGAAAACCTAGAGGTAGCATATGGAGAGTACAAAATAATGCACAACCAGCATCCTGAAACCCAGCAACTAGTCAATTTAAAAAAAAAAAAAATCAGTGAAGTTGGACGAATGCCTACATGGGTTTTGGTTTTCTTTTTAATTCCTTTTGGAAAGAAGCTCTGTAAGGTACTGCCTCAAAGTTGGGCAAAGCTACTGGACAGGTTTTGCGGCACAGAGAAGTCAGGGGTGGCCAGTGGGTGGCAAAGCCTTTGGCCTCTAGGTCACTGCCCCGATCTGCCCGGGGCTCACAGTGACCGAAGAAGAAGGGGCAGGTCCCGCCTGGAGAGCCGCTAAGGAACCAAGGAGGACCCTTCTACGATGGTCTGACCACTGGCATCTTTTTACAAGAAGCCTCCGCTTTTTACAAGACTGACACCTACAAACTCCTCCATTCAGCAGGAGGCCCAAGGCTCCACTGTGTGGACTGGGTGAAATAACACCGTGGCTGTCCTGCATCTCAGTGTAGACCTGAAACACATCGACCTTCTCACTCTCGCCGTTTCTACGTGGGACATTGCCCCGTGAAAAATTACCCTCACCACGTACCTACGAACAACGGATCCTTTCCCTTCTTCCTTACCATGGAAAGCTGACAGAATCACAGTCAGGATGAAAAAAGTTTCGACAATACATTAGCACGTTATTCATTTCAGGAGCTCCACTCAGCTACAAGGAACGCTAAGGCTAGAAGATGGTTCTACCTATGTGGTATATATACACAATGGAATATTATGCAGCCATCAAAAGGAATGAGATCTTGCCATTTGCAACGACGTGGATGGAACTGGAGGGTATTATGCTGAGCGAAATAAGTCAATCAGAGAAAGACATGTATCATATGATCTCACTGATATGAGGAATTCTTAATCGCAGGAAACAAACTGAGGGTTGCTGGAGTGGGTGGTGGGGTGGGAGGGATGGGGTGACTGGGTGATAGACACTGGGGAGGGGCTCTGGTAAGCGCTGTGAATTGTGCAAGACTGTTGAATCTCAGATCTGTACCTCTGAAACAAATAATGCAATATATGTTAAGAAAAAAAAGAAGAAGAAGAAGAAGGTAGCGGGAGGGGAAGAATGAAGCGGGGGAAATCAGAGGGGTAGACGAACATGAGAGATGATGGACTCTGAAAAACAAACAGGGTTCTAGAGGGGAGGGGGGTGGGAGGATGGGTTAGCCTGGTGGTGGGTATTGAGGAGGGCACGTTCTGCATGGAGCACTGGGTGTTATGCACAAACAATGAATCGTGGAACACTTCATCTAAAACTGATGTAATATATGGGGATTAACATAAGAATAAAAAAAAAAAGAAAAGAAAAAAAAACTGCAAAAAAAAAAAAGAAGATGGTTCTACCTTCTCCTGTCTGGGACCCGGTTCTTCCTTCCCCTGCCAGGGATGGAGTTAAAAGGACTGACAATTAAATCCCCCTAATCACTGAACTATGTTTTATTCCTGGGAAACCCAGAGTGTTTTACAGCCCCCCACCCCCACCCCCACCCCACCCGCATTCCTCAGTGCCTTCCCCGCCTCCAGGAACATTCTTTTTCTTTGGAAAACAGAGCGGTTGCCCTGAAGCAAAGAGAAATTTAAAAAGAAACTCAAGGGGTTTATTTAACATGATTAAGGTCCAGGAACATCAGTAAAAATATATAAAATACATAAATGCCACTAAGTGTAGAGTTGGAATTCTATAGAAAACCCCAGAGGCCAGTCTACTGTGGAAGAGTCAACAAAGGAGAAAGGTCTTACATCACTCCTCGACTCGCGTTTCCTAAAGGCCCAATCTTTCCCATTTGGATGGCCTTCATGTGCTGTACTCCCAACAGAGGCGGTCGGTTCATTTGCAGACAGAACCACAGGCCCTCACGTTATGAAAAATCAGCAACCAGCGAACGCAGTCCCATTTGCCTTAGGGCATTGGCTGCATCTTCTCCAGGGAATTAAAGTTAAAGCGAGGCTGTGGCTCGTCCCTCCCAGTCTCTGAAGTGGTTCTTCTTGGGGCTCAGATATTCAACAAATTATAAGGAGCACCGTTGACTAATTTAAACATGAAAACCAGAGCTGGCCAGGCCAAAGGTTTTCGGTTCCACATGTCTGGCTTGTGGTCTGACTACCGGCCGCCCTGGGAATACAGACCCAGAACAGGAAGAAGACACCGAACCATCCATTCTCTGACATCCACATTGATGTAGGAAAGATGTTAGGGTTCGAAGCCGACGGCCAAGAAAGAATTCTTGAGATGTCTTAGGTGCAAAGAGGTGGTTTTATTAAAGCCCGGGGACAGAACCCGTGGGCAGAAGGAGCTGTACTGGGGTCAGGAGGAATGGCCCGTTGTATGTTTTCAAGTTGGGAAGGGGTTAGGGATAGCATCGGTCTCTAAGGAATTTTGGAAACAACGTTTCCAGGACCTTGAGGGGGCTAGCTATTGTTGGGAAAAGGTCATTTACTACCGTCTAATAAAACCCCAGTCATGAGACCCTTCAGATGTATATCGGAGGGTCATATGCTTGGAGGATGATTGCCAACATGGATCTTGGGGGGTTTAGAGACAAAGGAAGTTTCCAAAGGAATTTTTATATGTTAAAGTAGACTTATAGGATCCTAGGGGCCGGGCTAGGACTGCCTTTTGCCCTTAGCAAAGCATTAACATGGAGGCAGCCGAGTCCCTGGAGGAAGGTCACTCTGCCTGTTTCAAGGACTCATCAGTGGGCTGTAAGTAGTGAGGAAATTTAATAATTCTTCTTCTGCCTTTGTTTCCCATATCACAGCCCACAGTCATTTCCTACTTCTCAGAGATGAGCTTGAGATTTCCTCTGCAGGCAGAGGGGATGAATGAACCATGCTTTTCATCAGAGCTAAGCCCTAGCCAGTCCTTGGTTAGCTGACTTTGCCTCCAGGTGGCCAAGAAACAACCCATGGAGCCCCCGTGCACATCCCCTGCTACCCCCACCAGGGGCTGTGGCCCTCTGCAGAGAAGTCCGCCATCCATGCTCTAGGGTTGCAGAGCCTGGCAGGCCCTCCACAGGCAGCGGACCCCTGGACCTCAGGGACAGGCTGGGTGACCACTAACATGCTTTCCATTCACAGACAGGGGTCGGGGGCAGGAAATTGAGGCAGTCCAATAGGATTTTTCTTTTGTCCAGCTGTTGATGACTAAAAAGAGATGATACTTTCTGACCAGCTATCTGACTTAAGCACCACCAAGGCTAGGCCCCTAAAGCAGAAGGAAACACAGACCAGGCCCTACCGTAAGGGTATTTGGTATCCAGCTTGCTCTCCGCCGTCCTCCTCCAAGGCAACAGGTCATCGCTGCACCCATTTGGCATCCCGTTATACCCGATGCCGACAATCTTGTTTTCTGCATTCACGATGCACGCTCCGACCTACAGGGAAACGTGCCCAAAGGCTTGGTGACCTGGCGAGGCTGGTCTGCCCCTGGACAGGCAGACATGAAACCAGAAGCTTGCAGAGCTCCAAAGCGAGCAGGGGTGTGTGAAGAGCTCTCTATCTCCTCGCTTGCTTTCTGCAGCAGCTCCCACAAGCCCAAGAAAGCAGACCCCCTAACCCCCGAGGATGTCCAAGAAGCCGTGAACGGTGGCTGAAAAATGTAAGCACCTAGGGATGCAGCACAAAAGGCAGATTTACTCTGCCTTTAAGTTGCCAAGCATCCGCTTCCTGCTGTAATTTGTTCATTTCCAGGTTATCTCTGTATCTGTGAGTGTCCACTCTCTTAGAAAACTCACTTACCTGTGAATTTGGATCTTTGCTTCTCTGTGCCGATAAGAAGGCCACAGCCATGAAATACTCAGGCCATTCCAAATAGTCATCACGTTTTTTGCAGGGAACTTCACTCATGCTGGGTCTAGAAGGAAAACAGTGGTTGAGAAAAGCATTTTGGTACACCTGCTTGCCAGGCCAATGCAACCACATGTCAACTTTGGATCTGCAGAGTCAATTTCCGTTACATTTATCCATCAGAAATCACAGATCATGGGACCTCAGATCGTGTCTGGCCTTAAGAAAAAAATTACTATTTCAGAAGTTTGGTTTTGGCACGTAGAGTTTCACATCCCCAAATTTTACATCTATGTACTGCTTTCTCATAGGATTTTTTTCAACCTACTACAAATGCCTGCTCCACAAATTGTTCTCATCCGTCACCTCCCTCCCTTAGGAAATAGAGCCAGCACAAGAGGGAGGGAGGGAGAAAGGAGAACATTTATTGATCATCTACTATCTTTCAGACACTGTGAAGGGTTATACGCATCATCTCACTCAAGCCTCATTCCTAGCAAAGGTAGTAACATCCCATCTTACAGAAACTCCCCGAAATCACATAGGATTATTATCCATGCCAGTCAGATTCCTCTGGAGCTGTCCCAGCTCTGATATTAACCAGAGAATCTGTCCCTTTTCTTTCCCCTTAGCTCAGATGAAAACAGAAATTATCAACTCTGAGTACTCAATCAAGTGAGAAGAAACAAAAGTGTCGAGTGCTGTGACTGAGGCTAAGTTTTAGCAACGTGGGCTCTACTTACTCGCTCACGGGCAGGCACAAGCTGATCTACAACAGGGGGAGCCCCTGAAACTTCCAGTAAGGGGTGGGTGGGGTCCTTTCAAGGGAAAATAAACAGCACAAGGAAAGAGGGCAACACAAGAACTGAGTGGGTATCACTGAGCATTCTTGAGCATTTGGGTGGAAGGCAGGTGTTCATTTCCTTGCACTTGGGCTTCAGGCTCCAGCCCTCGGCTTAAGCGGGACAGCGCGCCAGGGCCTCAAACTGGGATGCAGGGAAAAAGTCGCTACTGGGACCCATGATTATCCACTGATCTGTGGCCCAAAGTTCTGAGAAGCCTGTAAGCCCTCTTAACTGCACTGGTTTACCACCGGCTCAACAGTCGGCATCCATAATCGCTGTAGGGTGCCAGTTACGTGCCCACCAAACAGGAGGTGGGAGGGGAAGAAGAGAGGGAAAGGGGGGTATTACTCCAACGTCTGCTTTAACGCTCAGGGGAGCCCCGAAACCCAGCGGCAGCAACAGTTGGGATGCTACTCCAGGGGGACACATCTGGTAACGTGCCCGGACAGAACCCGCGCTCCTCCGCCCACCACCCCTTCCCGGCATCCGACCCCGGCGAAACCCGGCACCCCGAGCCCCCACGTGGGCGCAGGAAGTGCCTGCCACTCCCAGCCTCCCAGTCCCACCCTCCGGAGCAAGTCTCCAGTGATCGGGCCCTCCCAGCCCGCACTCTTTGGCCCGGCAGGGGGTTTCCCCGGGCGGCGGGGGGGAGGGGGGGCCACCTCGGGCTTCCCCGCCCGGAGCCCCCGCCGCGAGCCCGGCGCCCCGCACCCCCGCGCGCAGCGCTCGGGCCGCGCCGCGTGGCGCGCAGGCCGCGTACCCGCACGGCAGGGCTGGCCCCGGCTGGTCCTCGGCTCCGGCTCCGCGATCGCAGGCCGCCGCCCCCGCCCCGCCCCGCCCCGCCCCCGCCCCGCCGCCGCGCGCGCCGGAGGAGAGGAAGTCGGGAGAAGAGGCGGGGCCCCGCGGGGCCGGAAGGTGACCGCGACCAGGCGGCCACGCGCTCTGGAGAGGGGGCCCCGGCGGGCGCGCGCCAGGCGGGGAACTCCTGGGCGAGGTCGCCTCCGCTTCCTCGTCCCGGACACACAGCTCGCTGAGCCCGCGATCTGGCCGGCGACCTTCGGGGCCAGCGCCCGAAAGACCCCTCCCGGGGGCTGGCTGCCTCCTTTTGTTGAGGGGGATGGTTTGGGATTTGACCCTGACCGCGCGCCGGCTCCTGGATACCCTTGAAACCGCCCCCGAGGCCCCTGGGCTGGGGCCGGCCGGAGCGCCCCGCCGCGGAGCTGGCCCCGCGGACCTGCGCCCCGGGCTCCCCAAGCCTCTGCCCGCGTTCGTCGTCGCGAGCCTGGGCCCCACGGGGGAGCCTGGGCCCCAGCAGCTCGCGGCTGCTCCCGGGGCTCTGACTTGATAGTCTTTGCGTTTTTCAGATCTCTGAATCTGAGGGTTGGGTAGTTTTCGTTGGTGGTGCTGAGTTTGTTTTTACCACCATTCACCACCCCCCCCGCCCCGCCCCGGATCTACCATCCACTTAAAGCTCTCGCTGTAAATCTATTATTTGTAAATGAAAGACGACCCGAAAGAGTCTAGTGCCATGAAACTGAAAAGGGTAGGAAGTAAGGAGACCTGGTTTTGGTCTCTGGACTGGGCCTGCGGGGTCTCAGTGTCGTGGGGAATGTGGACGCGCGCAGCGTCACAGTTTGCTGCAGGAGGGGTGGGTAGGGCGGGACGCCATGCCTCGAGGCACAAATGTCTCGAAGTTACATTTGCATTTGCGCTTTGCATGGCCCGCTTAGTTTCCACTCAAACGGTGTGGAAGGGCCCGAGCTGTGCGCTGAAGCCTGCTACCCCTTGCCAAGCCCACCGCGGGCTACACACCTCTCGGGCTTTCCCCCATGCGTTGGCCGGGTCTAAAATTGCGCGCCCTGTGTTACAATTGATTTAAAAAAAAAAAAAAAAGATCAGAGAAAGGGGGCACGGGTCAATAGGAAAGGCCATCAGGGAGATTTCTGAAGCCATTAAGCCCCAAGGAAGTAAATCAGATTTTCTTGAACTTCATTATTCTATTCAAAAGTGTAGCTAGCCCCTCATCCTGGCGGAACAGGGGTACCTGCGCAGAGAATGACAAAAGAACCTGTTCTGTGTTACACACAGGGCTTGAGGATATCGTCAGCACCCCACAAATGATAGCTACTGTAAGAATCATGAGTTCTGATCAGCATATCCCAGATCTGAGCCACTAATCCAAACAAAAGCTTGTTAACTATATTAATTTAGCCTAACGGGGGAAGAATGATGAGAGTAAACAGTTGGTTCTACCTAATTTCTCACTACCGCGGACACATCATTCTTCATCTCCACGGTCCAGCCTGTAGATTCAATAATTAAATTATATATGGCGTTTCGTGGATGCCGGGAAAGCAAAGAGGAAAAATACTTCATCATTAACTATAGATTTTTTTTTTTTTTTTGGCTTTGATAAGAGTCAGGTTTCAAAGAGCTACATAGATTAAGATGATGATTTTTAATGTCAAGTTAACTTTACGTGGCTGGCTGGTTGCCACTAAAATGTATTATATACTGAGCCCTTGGTTCCCTTCCCTCTCCCAAATCCACTGCTTGGTCTTTGTCACGCTCATCTATAGTCTTTGAGTCTTCATAGATCCATTTCTCTTCTTACCAATCTCCAGCCAATACATCACCAATTGCTGCTGGTCCCTCAACCACAACATCATTAAGCTTTCTTCCTTCCTCTGCTCTGTAAAGACTGTCATACATAATTTAGTTACTTCTCATCATTCTCCATTTTGGTCAGCTCACACACTCTCCTCTGCAATAAATTCAGGATCCTGCTTGCTGCAAACACATTACCCTGAATGTTCCTGCGTTTCACTCTAAGTCTCTCATCTTACAAGATGACATCATTCATAATACAGGAAACCCTCCTGATTCATAGTCTCAGAACTTGAGGTTTCAATTATTCGGCACCCACAGCCAACCCAGGCAGCCAAGGAGGAAGAAAAATGCATTCCTTGGTTTATCTTGCTCATTAACACCTTGTAACTCCAAGTGTGAGTGTGTTAAATCTCTCTTGCTAATACCTTGTATTTTGGTTTATAATTGACGCTCTTTCTCCACCTACCACAGATGCAGAGGCTCACTAGGTTTTCAGCCAAATCAAGAGCAAGGAGAGGGGGCTTCACCTAAGGGTGAACACAGTCAGACGTTTGTAAGGACCATTGTCCCAGGCTGGGCCTGGCTTCTCTATTTATGAGACTGTGGGTTATCTCTGCCTGATCTGTAGCATAACCTGGAATATATTTCAGGACCTCGAAGGTGGGGGATCCCAATAAAAAAATCAACATCAAGGTGAGATTCTTTGGGGGCTCCCTCAAATGGGGCTTTGATGGCATTCATGGATGGCTGCTCTCCCAAGAGACCACTTACCACTTCCCCCACCACCTCTTGCCCAGAAAACGATGTGACTTGCAGCCCGGAGACAGGCAGGGAGTCTGGAAAGCAACCGGTGTGTGCATCAGGGGTTGGCATGGGAGAAGGGCACACTTGGACTCGAACCAGAGTTTGAATTCTAGTGCCATTTCTTACTACCCAAAGGACCTTCAGAAGGGACTCACGTTCTTGGGGTGTTTGTCTCCTCAACTGCCAAATCAGTAACATTCAGTCATTTTTTGTTAATTCTCTATGTGCTCAGTGCTGCGAATACCAACATTGAACAAGATAAGCCAGCCCTTACCCTCACAGGGCTTACCCCCCTCTCTCAAACAAATGCCAAATAAATGAACCTCATTACTGGCTCAGTGAACACAATAAATGTTATGATAAAAGTTTCGTGTTGGAATATGTTGGTTCTTAATCCAGTAGTCATCAGGGTCAAAAATTGCTTTTCATAGCTCCACAACCATACTTAGAAGGAAAGTACCACGGTTTCTATTTTTCAGAGGAATAATTGTTTATATTTCCATGAAGCAGTCCAAACTAGAGAGAACTGTTTAAACCTTAAGTACGGGGATGACTAGAATATTTGCTAACCAGAAAAGAAGTCAATGAAAATTCTAGGAAAGAAATTACATATGTGTTGTTGGATATATATATATTTTTATATGTATGTTAGAACATGAGGTCAGTTGTTCACAATGGAAGACATACAGACCACAGATTGATATATCAGAATATTATTTTTTTCTTTTTTTAATTAACATAATGTATTATTTGTTTCAGGGGTACAGGTCTGTGATTCATCAGTCTTACACAATTCACAGCACTCACCATAGCACCTACCCTCCCCAATGTCCATCACCCAGCCACCCCATCCCTCCCACCCCCCACCACTCCAGCAACCCTCAGTTTGTTTCCTGAGATTAAGAGTCTCTTATGGTTTGTCTCCCTCTCTGGTTTCATCTTGTTTCATTTTTCCCTCCCTTCCCCTATGATCCTCTGTCTTGTTTCTCAAATTCCTCATATCAGTGAGATCATATGATACTTGTCTTTCTCTGATTGACTTATTTTGCTTAGCATAATACTCTCTAGTTCCATCCATGTCGTTGCAAATGGCAAGATTTCTTTTTGTTGATGGCTGCATAATATTCCATTGTATATATACCACATCTTCTTTATCCATTCATCTGTTGTCAGAATATTAATATCAAAAAAATTCAAGATTCTTGGGGCACCTGGGTGGCTCAGTTGGTTGAGCATCTGACTCTTGGTTTCGGCTCAGGTCATTATCTCGGGGGTCATGGGATCAAGCCCTGCATCGGGCTCCACGCTGAGCATGGAGTCTGTTTGAGATTCTTTCACACTCCCTCTCCCTCCCCTTCTACTCCTCCCCCTGCTCTCTTTCTCTCTCTCAAATAAATAAATAAAATCTTTTTTAAAACATTTTAAAAATTCAGGATTCCTAAACAAGGTTTTTGTTATAAGTTGATGGCCCAATTATCTTTATTGCCACACATCTTCAAAATTATGATGAAGCTCAATGAAGAAATGTTAACTTAGCAGATGCACAGAGCCGGGTGCTTTGCTATTGTATGTCAGTAAATGTTAGTTGACCAAATTAAGGAATAGACAATAATTGCTTTACGCCAAACACTTTGGAGCACCCAACACATAAAGAGAAGTCTTCATCAGTAAACTCTAGTTAGACCTCTCTGTTTCCTTTTTCTCCTTGCATTTAATGGACCTGGGAAGACCTTTGATAAGTGACATCTTGGGGCTGGTGGATTAAGAAGCAAGGGCAAGCAGAATTGCTTTCAAGACATGTAGTATCTCAGTCTTAGGATTTTCGTCTTTGCCTGCAAATAACCATCTCTAGAACCAGAATGAACGGCAGCTGGGAAGGCTGTCTGCTTTTTTGTGGTTATGTCAGCTCTCCCCATGACTTGCTTCTCCTCTACAGAGCTGAACTTGTAGCCTCTTTCATACATAACTGGTTGAAGTTGATGGAAATTACATGTCTTATCACTTCTTAAAAGAAAAAAAAAATACATAAAATGTAAATCTGAAAGAAATGGGCAATTTTCTTGTACCACTTTATATTTCTGTGTAAGTTACCAAGTGCCAATCATTCTTACTTTTTAAAATTCAAAGTTGTCAAGCAGCATGTAAGCTTTCAATGTTGTACAAGAAAAGATAATGCTTCATGTGGAACAGTCACTTACGCTAGTTCTGCAAAAGTGCCTACCAAAAGAGAATTTATCAGATTGCTGGTTTTATGGAAATATTAATGACCTCATTAAATTGTCCCTCTACTCAGGGGTCACCATGGAATCTACTGAAAG